TCTTTTCAGGTTGGTGCATTCCCCTCCCCTTCCACTTGTTTGGGGCTTTGGGACGGGTTTACTGCTAGCATTTTATCGTTTGCTGGGTTATGGCTTCACTCACATTTGTACTTACATTCGTTGCGCATGTAGAGACAATCATTCCTTGGGATCCTTCTACGCTCGGTCCGGTATACGCCTCTTGGTGCTGTACTGACTCTGTGCTGCGGGGACCTATCGGGGCAAAAAGGTGCTTCAATCCTTTGGCTTCCGCCTTGGGAGAGGCACCTCTCGCGCCCCAGGCTACAACCCCTCTACAGGGAGTCTGGGGGGTCCAAGATCAATTCAGACCCCCTCCCATTGGCACATTTGCGGGCCGCTCACATCAGAGGTACGGTGGAGCACACCCGCCTGTGAGTCGCCAAAACCGGTGCTCTTACAAAGGAATTTCAAAGGGAGATTAGAAAGAGAGACTGCTAAATTGCAATTGATAATGAAGCTCAAGACAATGCATCCTCCTAGCCTGAATTGAGACCTGGTTTCCCTGTCTCATTACCAATGTGTGCTATTATCATTTGGCATCTGAAACCATTCCACTCCCCAAGATATAAGGACCAATCCATGTGTTCTAATTCCTAATCAGGGTCTTTTTGAAAGAAATTAAATCCAGATAGGAACAGAGAAATCTAATCTTTTTAAAAAAAAACTTTTCAGAATAAGCCAAAATAATTTCTTCAATGTACATTGTGCTTGTCAGAAGAATCCAATCCAAGAAGTGTGCTTGCACACAAAAAGCTTATACCTGGAATAAAACATTGTTGGTCTTAAAACTGCCATGGGACTCCAATTGTGGTTTTTTTGTTTTTTCTCTTTCCTCCCCCTCCCTCCAAAGAGGAGGAGCATCTCTGGAAAAGGAAGCAAAAGTGTGGTGGAGAGCTTGTTTTTGTATCTCTACAGCACGAAGCAGCCACAAAGCTCTTTGTGTGTGAGTGAGTGAGAAAGCAAAGGAGGAAGGCTTGTTTTTGTATCTCTCCAGCACAAAGGAGCCACAAAACTCTCTCTGTATCTGTGTGCGTGAGAGAGACAGTGCGTGAGAGAGTGAGGGAGGAAGGGAGGGAGGCTTGTTTTTGTATCTTTCCAGCACAAAGCAGCCACGAAACTCTACGTGTGTGTGTGTGCGCGCGTGCACGCACGCGTGTGTGTGTCGGGGGGAGGCAAGAGGCCAGCTCTGGGAACCCACAGGGTTCAGGCTTGGACTCCTTGACAGGTGGGCTCCAGCTGGCAATGCCACTCGAGTTCTCTGCTGTGCCTTCTATAGAAGGGGCATTCAAGTGGATGGCTCTTTTTCCCCAAAGCTTGAGGAGGAAAGGAATCAAATCCCCAAAGTTTTGTGCCCCTGCTCAAGGGGTTCCTGAGACAGTAGGCTGGCTGGCTATAGCCTCAGTGGGCAAAGATGACAGGCAGGATGAGAAAGTTTTAAGAAAACAAGTGAAGGATTGCAATGGAAGACCTAAAAGAAGGTAAGTACAGAATAAATAAAGAGAATAAAGCACAGCAGGAAAATAAAGTAGAGCTCCCAAGTTTCCTTGCTAACTTAGAGACCAAAAAAAAAACAAAACCCTGAGCAGGAGCAGCTACAGAGAGAAGAGGAGCCGTTGAAGGATTGTAACTTGTTCCCTGCCTCCAAAGATGATGGGAAAGTGTCCCAAATATCAAAATTATGCCCTCAGTTCTAGATCAGAACAGATTATCCAAAACTAAGTTAAAAGCACAACTGGACAGCAGCACTTTGAGAACAACTATTCTTCCAGCTGGACAGCAGCACTTTGAAAACAACTATTCTTCCATCCTGGTTACTTTAAACTCAGATTCCTCATTCAACAAAAATGATGGAAAACAGCTAAAAGTCCTCCTGCTTTCATTTTTCAAACTGATGTGCCTCCACTATTTTTCATCTTAGCTCTCTGAAATCTGATTAATTTGTGTTCTTTCCCCTAAAGATCAAACCAAACTTTATAAAAGTACATTTACATACAATTTATATAAGTTCTAAATGAAAGTATAGTTCTATATATAGTCAGTTCTTCACAATAAAGACATTATTTCAAGAGATCATAGCCTACGGTTTTGGTCTCATATCAAAAACACTCTAAAGAAAACTTTTATATTGGAATCCAAGTTCTAATCTGTCACTTACAATAACTTAAAGGCTCACATGCCACATCAGGACTGGCCTGTGAAGTTACTTCTGCATCCAATGCAGTTTGTCATATGAGTATGTACTTCCTCAGCTCAAAGCCTCCTTGGGAATCCAAACTAGTTGTACCATACTTGAAATCTCAGCCTCTGGTGATGATATCTTAAGGTATGTTTCTGATACAAATAAACATATCGCAAAGGATCTCCACTCTTCAACACTGGAGATTGGCAACAATGGTTCCCCAGGAGGAAATGGCTGGTTTGGAGGGTGGAGTCTTACGGCAGTGTACCTGTCTGGGGTCTCACTCCTCCTCAAACCCCATCCTCTCCAGGTTCCACCCCTCAAATCTCTAGGAATTTCTCAACCTGGAGTTGGCAACCCTATCTCCTTCCCAGCCAACCGTCATCCTACTTTTATCTGCCCCTCTAACTTCAGCTTTCCATCTCCTCCCCCCTCCCTCCTGGAGAGCAGTTGTAATTCTGAGTGATCTCCAGTCCCCACCTGGAGATTACCTCAGCAGGGTATATTGACACAAAGGCTACCCTGCAAAGCAGCTGTTTTCTCCAGGGAACTGATCTCTGCTATGTGGAGTGATCTCCAGCCCTCATATGGAGATTCACCAAACAAGCAAACACTGAGGTGAATTACTTTTAGTAGATCTTTTCAAGGTAACCAACATATCAAACAAAACTACAATATTACAAGGAAGAGTCCATCATTCTCAATGTGTACCCGGATATAAACTCATCTTGTCCCAATCTTCCTCAGGAGTAATCCTATTGTATTGAAAGGTATCAGCCCCTTAATACAGCTCAGTGTTGTGTTAGGAGCAAACCAGTGCTTAACTTCTTTATTTCTTCAAATTATCCTGGAAAAAACCCATGGTTATTTAAAATGAAAAGCAACATGAAGCTGAATGGAATATTATATATTTTTAAAAAATATATTATTTTGTAATTTTTTTTAACTTACTTCTGGATCCATTTCAAGTGTTTGTATTAGGAGCAAGCCAGTCTTGTCTTCTCTAACTAGATGCAAAAGCCTTCTATATTTTGCCGGCTTAAATGCTCTCCATGATCACTGTATTAATATTTATAGTAGTAGCAAACCAGTAATCTTTTCTACCTGGCTGGAAGCCTTCGATTTTAAATTTGGCTGGCAAAATGGTCTCTACAACAAGCTGGAACCCAGACTCTATAAATAAAACTATTCTAATTAATTCCATGCAGCTGCATGTTGGATAACTCTTTCTTAAAGGTATGAAACATTAACAAAGTTGTTATAGGCTGAACCTCTGTGTAATACTTTCACTTTTAAATTGTAATTAATGTAATACTGGGGATATTGACACATAGAAAGTAATACGTTTCTGGGATGATTTCAAAATGGTTTAACTCTTTATATTGAAGATGATAATTCCACAATTAATTTAAAATGTAAAAATTGAACCCAGTTCATCTCTTTAAAATATTACATTTTAAAACTTATCACTAGTAGGCAGTTTAACATAACTTGCTGCCAGATCTACTTGTACACAGAAGATAGCGGGCATGGGAATTGTTGGAAATTTTAAAAATCTCATATATTTGCCTGGCCATCAGTCATTGCTCCATTTTTACCAATTTGGGCATGTGATTCCACATTTTTGAAAGACTTTGACCTTCAAAATGAGGCTTTTATGACTATTGTAGGTAATGCATCCCATTCTGTTGCAACAGGAATGAGTACATATTTTATGGGAAATGTGACCTTCAATACATTTTTGAAGGGGCCTTGCCGTCTAGTGATAATTTAAAACAATTCTGGCTGTAGATACATTTCACCACATAATACCACAAAATCTAAACAAAACTCATGATTATGAAGCAATCCTTTTGCTCGTTTAGGACTGTGCCATCTAATGCCCTAAATTTTCAGTATTAAGGTATGAGACCCATTTTATCAGGTACATGAACTGTTACACAACCTGGTCAAGTAGGTTCTGTATCATGAAAACAGAGGTCATTTCGGGGAGGATCGCGGGGGATCGCAGTTCCCCCGGGTGAGGTACGGGGGGCGGGGCACATGACGAAGCCCCGCCCCCTGCTTCCAGCTGCCCCGCTTCCAGCCCTCATTCAGCCAGGAGGCGGCAGGAGAAGAGGGAGGGTAAGTTGCTTCCTCCCTGCCTCTCCCCACCCCTGCCTGCCTGGGGCCAGGGAGGGCCTTTGCGGGGCTTCCTTGCACTCCCGCCGGCCTTGCAGGTCCACCGCCCTCATGGGGCTCGGCAGTGGAGCTGCAAGGCCGGCAGCGGCGGCCAGGACCATTGGGGGCGGGGTGTGTGGCCTTATGATACACGTCCGGTGATGTCAGGGGGTGTGGCCTTATGACACACTTCCGGTGATGTCAGGGGGTGTGGCATATGCTAATGAGTTATGCTAATGAGTTCTCCTAGCTCTTTTTCTACGAAACGACCCCTGCATGAAAACATATGTCACAATAAAGTGTCAGTCTTGGCATGAGATACTCTGTTTCAGTTGTATTAGATTAAAATGGCTACTCTGTAGAATTTGTCATTATTCTATGTGTACCTTGGAAATTTTTTCTTATATCTAAATTATATCTTAAGTCACAGCAGCCTTTACAATTATGCATGCACATACATTTACACTACACACTAAGTGACATCCTTGCACAGTTCACAGCAGGTTTTCCCCAGTTACGTCAATTTTTGCTTGGTACTTCCTAGTTTTAGTCTGCAAAAGAGGAGGTTATTCAAACCAGAATCTGACACTGCAAGAACATATCCCTTCACAGGCTGTGTAGAAAGAAACCATTCACTTACTTGAGGGTCCCTGAGAGTCTCTGATCTCACCATGATGCTGGACGTGCAGTATAATTCAGTATGCAGAACAGCAAACGAAAAAGCCCAGGCCAAAGCACACACACACCAAAAGAAGAACAGTAGAATACAGCAGAGGAGGCAGCCACAACAAAAGGAAAGAAGGGGAACAAGGGAAACAGTATGTTAGTTAATAACTAAAAATACATGCAACAATTCTCATCAGCAATACATAGCTCCAGATACAGGAACTGAAGCAAAATAAAAAACCACATAGGCAAGTATGCTTGGAGAAGGCCATTAGCAGATTTGCTGTTGTTAGTGAAAGGCTGATTCTCTCCACAAAGTTTTCATTTATTAATCACATAACTATATGCAGAACAAGATTCACAATTAAAAATAAGGTGGCTGAGCTTATCTTTAACCTATAAATCGCTATAATGATGCTGCTGGTACAAAATCATGAATTAAACACTTAGCTACAGACTTAGACGGACTAAATAAATGTTGGAGGATTTCTGAAGTCATCTTATTGAGCTAGATTATTGAGAAAGAAGAATGGAATCTTACAGGAAAAGTGGAAGGGATCTGGAGTTTTATACAACAACGTACATATAACAGTTTGAAAACATGGATTTTACTGAGTCAATATTATACAAAACGTTACCCAGCTTCATCCTCAAGTAGCTTTTTCGCCAGAGCATTTATAAGGCATTACCTACTTCAAACACTAGTGAAACAGCAAGCAAGGGAAATCTTAATATTATTTCTGTACAGTATAAGGCTGTAACATTTGAAGAATTTTAGAAATTGTGTAATACATTGTTTTAAAACTTTATACAGGAAATCATTGTATTATATTAAGACAATCACTCCTTTTATCATTTTTTGTCTCAAAAAAAGCCATGATATGCCACAAGTTTTTCTATTAAACTGCACACATATAAAGCAAGTATATCACCCTGCTTCTAAGTGCATTTCAATTTTGATACCTCCCCTCAAATTAAAAAAACCCTGACAACACTTCTGTGGGAGCCTGCCAGTTTGAGTGGAAAAACTACACAGGGCTACTAAACCTCCCCCACACCCAAGCTACTCTTCAGCTCAAGATTCCCCACCCTAACCCCAAGCTTCTCGAGTTGGTTACTTCCAATTTTAAAATAAAAAATAGATATAAGTCAGGAGGGAATGTTGCATCTCCCAGGTAACTTCTACTGTGGTCTTCAGAAAGCAGGAAAAGCCAATGTATTAACAAATTCTAATGTTAACTGGCCAGGGCAGTTATATCAGGAAAACCTTTATCAAGAAAAAAAATGTATCCACAAATTTCTGAAGTGGATTTCTAACTCTTCCCCCCTATTGTTAAAACTGGAGAATTGCTACCTAGTTTAAACATAGTATCATCTCAGCATTTTAACAGTCAACAGTTTGTTGTAGTGGACCGAGGATTTGAGAGGACACAGTTATCAATCCCACTCTGTCAAGCAAGGCCGCTAGGTGATCTTGGGCCAGTCACCCACCCTCAGCCACACAGGGTTGTTGTGAGGATAAAATGGAGGAAAGGAGAATAGTGTAAGCTGTTGTAGATCCCCACTGGAAAGAAAGGCAGGGTATAAATGGAGTAAACAAAGTCTACCCTGGTTGTTATACATGTTTAGGTATAATGTACAATGAAGCACATCTACATATTGGTAAACAATGGCATATACCCATCCATCTAAGGACTTTATGGAATGTGACTTTCCTGCTTCCCCCACATCTGCAATATTGAGCATCCCCCCCCCCATTTTTTTTTGTTCCAGGTGCCAACAGATCCTCAAAAACATCATGGGGGGAGTAAGGATCTCCATTGGGCACAAGGAATCAGTGGAAATCACTGCTTCTACAAACAGAACATATTGGAGGAGGAACTGCATGCTTATATACAGGCAATGTTCACCCATAAAACCAACCCTATGAATGTATGATTTTTTCCAATGGGTACATTTTCATCCCAGTCAATCTGACATTACAGGGTTAAAAGAAATGTCCCACCAGTTTTGCAAAGGAAAACTGACACAGGACAATACTGAAATGAAGTAATATAGCCAGTAGGTTGACGCACAACATGGACTTGGAGACCAACAGCAAAGTAATGATGAATATCAGAAATGTTTATAATTAGTAATGATAATGCGTTCCTTCACAGTTAGTGAGCTCTGTTCAAAACAGTTTTTGTAAACAAAAACAGCAGTTTTATAAGGAACAAAACTGGTGATAATCAATATGCAAAAGATGTGGCAAACACCTATTCAAGAGTACTCACTACAAACATGAATTTGCTTATGATATTTTTCCACTCCAAGATATATGTTTTTGGTTAGTAAATTTCTGTACACCTCAATTTCTGTACATACTGGTTAAGGGGAAATTTTTAATAAGCAGCTACCTTACTGTTATACATGAGCATATTAACAGGGTCTTTAAATCAATTAAAATATATACTAGGCCATTTATACCATCATACAAAAATACCACTAACATTTTCCTAAGAAATAAATTACTATGTCTCATCTCCAGTCATTTAAAGTAAATCCAAACCCAACGTTTGTTGGGGTAGGACTTGTATCTGAATATAAAGTTCCCAAGCTTTCCAAACCATCCCTTGGGAAACAGGTAACACATATTTCAAATTCATCTTACCTGTGATGGAAATTTGAAATGAATATTTAACAGAACTATGATCATATCTAACAGTAAGAGAGAAAATGCACTAAACTGGAGCATCATCAACAACACTAGCCATTAATGAGAAGGTCACACCCCCATATGAGTGGGTTATACTACCAGCAGCATTTTCTTTTAAAAGAGTAGGAGAAAGATGGGTGTAACCAGTAAAGGTGAGAAGCAGGGTCCCATGTTGTCTAACAGGATGTCAAAGATAAGTTTGGGGGATGGTTTTTAAAAAGCATGTGATTTATGTGGGATTCAGCTTAACTATAAAATAACCTGCATGAGGATAAAAAATGTTTAGATACTGACAAGGAAGCTATTACAGGCGATATGGGGCAGACAAACTGGCACTGCGTAGCTGAAGGTTTATATGACATTTCTAAAAGAGACGATTTTACTTCACAATTATAGCAGGGCTGGGGGGAACAGCATGGAACAACAAAGCTCCCCCCCCCTCCGAGCCCATGACCAGAATGATATCATCTTGCCATCTTTCACATGCAAGGTTTTAAAGAAAAAAGTTGATGAAAGTATAGCATCTTACACTACACAAGGACCATACTCTGTGTACCATACTCTGTTTGCTTAACTTTAGTATAGCATCTTAAGCATAAATGGTTCAGGTGAGTTTTACAATGCAACCATTATTAGATTAATCGGTACTTACCTACGGTAATGAAACAGAGCAGCAAGAGAGTCTAGCCACTAATACCTCAATCAAGGTTATACAATGGAACAAATGCCAGCAAGAGAAACACTGAAGCAGGAAAGCTGAGTGAAGCAGATAGAACCCAAGATTATTGCAATGGCAAGTATGTAAATATTTCAGCACTGCATAGCTAATTACTTTCAAGGTGCTCCTAAGCAATAGGCTAACACACAAGCCTCCTGAGGTTTGCTTTTGTTACCTCATGTTCACAAATAAGCAGCTTTTTTTATACTGATGACAGTACACATTTTTAACACTGGGCTTGAAGAGATATAGAAGTTAGCTTACACTTTTGACATACAAAACTATAACTTCATTTTTACTTATGTTACAGGCAAGATTTTTTTTATAGTTTACTTTTATCACTAGAATTTTATTGATTAAACAATATACAGACTGCAGAATAAGGAGAGGCTGACATATTCAAATATTCATCTCTGTGTACTGCCTCCTGCTAATTATGTGGGCTGAAATGGCCCATCTCCACGTGAGGGTATATAAATAAGATATTAAAAGTGGTAATACAGAGAAACCAGTGAAGGAACATTTCAGTCTTCCTGGACATGCTATAATTGGGAAGCTGCCATTCTTTAGCAAAGAAAAAAGAAGAAAAAGCCCACTCTTCAAAGAGACACTGTAGAGCAGACCTTGACAAATTTTCTTTGGCTCTCGGTACCAGTACAAAAAACTAGCTTTGTACATACTGCAATAAAATCATTGCTGAAAATACTAGGAGCCACAATGACATTCCTAGGCATCATGGCAGCCTGACATCTGGGATTTGTCAAGCCCTGATCTAGTGAGCAGATTGATACTATCAGCCACCGGCTCAGTGAGCAGCTGGCTCTTTCACTTTAGACAGTGACTGCCCTTTGTTACAATGTATAGAATCTATTCAGCTAGCTATACCAAGTCATCATCAGCTGGAGGTAGCTATGACCTACTCCAATTGGCTCTTCCACACATAGATCTCTTTCTTACATTGCTGGGTAATCTTATATCACGGTCATAATACTCCCTTTTACATGCCTTGCATGCACACAGTATCTACCGTGTTTCCCCGAAAATAAGACACTGTCTTATATTTATTTTTTCTCAAGAAGACACACTAGAGCTTATACCACAAATGCATAGAAATCCTGCTAGGGCTTATTTTTGGGGTAGGTCTTATTTTCGGGAAAACAGGGTATTTGGGTGTCTGACAACACTTCATAGCTGTAACAAGTGTGGTTCCAGTCATACAAAATTCTATGGCTCAATAGACTGAGGTGCCATCAGGGTTTTTTTTTGTTTGTTTTTGCTTTGCACTTGAACAGAGTAACATGACTATCCTCTGAAACTAAGTGGGTAGTTCTCCTAGATGCCCCCTACATCTCCCAAAGTTTGGTGTAGTGGTTAAGAGCGGCAGACTAATCTGGAGAACCAGGTTTGATTCTCCAATCCTCCACATGCAGGCAGCTGGGTGACCTTGGGTCAGTCACAGTTCTCTCAGAGCTGTTCCCTCAAGAGCACTTCTCTCAGAGTTCACTCAGCCCCACCTACCTCACAGGGTATCTGTTGTGGGGAGAGGAAGGGAAAGAGATTGTAAGCCACTCTGAGACTCCGAGTGAAGGGCAGGG